AGAATATAATTGACGATCTGGTCACTTGATATACCAATCATGAGGTGCAAAACCAGCTGCTATGGTGTGGGAGCGAACCTTTGAATGCCTGCTTGTTAGTCCAAAACAGTAACCACTACACCAAGTGTGAAACGTCCTAAAGCCGTCTCCTGTCTGGCTAGCAATTTTTGTGCTACTGAAAAGTACTCATATATTACCTCGCAGAATCTTTCCTTATAAGACAGAAACGGTTTCGAAATCAGCTTTCTAGCGCTCATCCACTATGAGGTCATCCACAGTAACTTTATACCCATAGCCGAGATTTGCCTAGACTACGCTACATTGCACTAATTTACCCTTATTTTCAGCTCGTCGTCCACAGGTCTCTTCGCTGGAATAATATTCCTCATTGCTTCATTCGTATCTATGGGTATGTACACGATATTCGAAGAGCTACGAAACAGTGCGGGCGCTCAGTTGCTGTTTGGAATCATGGACCTTTGCATGTTCAGCATGACACTTGGAGCGTGTTTAATCGGACTTTGGAGGTTAGAGGTTGAATCTGGTAGAAATTTGAGGAACATCACTTGAACAATGAATTAATTGTCCAGAATGAGAGCTCTACAGTATCGGCTGCATGCGCATGGAGAAGTAATCGACGAAATTCTTCTTATAATTGGCCTGGTTGGAGAAATTGTCTATTGCGTTATTGGTAAGTAATCTTCATTTATGGAAATTTAGAGTAACTAATATAGTGCTTCCAGGCTTGGATATCTTTATTACCAACCGACGAGCACATAAATATTACTCGATTCTTCCAGCATTCGTTTTTGTAGTTCGTCTGGTGCAGGTGTTAGTGCAAGCAGCGTTCATATTAATAACTTCGAGGTAAGGAAAATTTCTCTGAAAGTTTCCTATGCTAAGATCTTTCATTACAATGTTCTTATAGGCTTCGTTGTCTGTCACCTTATACTATCAAGTATAAACCTGGCAAGCAAATGATCACCTTTTTGCTCGTGGCTAATGTTACTCTTTTTGTCTTCCATACATATGAAGGTAAGAAATAAAAAGGCTCCGAAGAAGTGGATGAAATTCTGTCATGGCATTCATTTGAGAAAAACCATTGCTCAATTGTTTTGCTTTCACAGTAATTTATGTGCCAGCTTGGTCAGAAAGTCTTAAATAAAATTTCAAAAAAATTGCTTCAAGAAAGTTTTAAGTTTTATGGATATAACTGGTTTTCCTGATATATTGATTTGATATGCGTTCTACTCTTTCATAAAAATTATGATCTTTATTAAGTAAGGCCAGAATAAAAACCCCGGAAATTTTGACAAAAAAGTGAGAATATGACAAAATCAGAACTAGAAAATCAAATTCTGTGGGGAGCTTTTTTTGCGATTTTACAACTAATTTTTGAATCATCTTAGTGCACACAGTACAGATACAAATGTTTTATCTGCGCATAATCTTTGCACACGAATGTCCAGCAATGACCAAACCAACCTTTAATGCATCGTACAAATTCTTAACGGTGATGCGATCATATTTGCACAGTTCGAGAATATATTCTATAAACACTAAGTCCAAGTGTTCTCAAAGTCAAAAATCAAAGGACATAGAAACGGTCGCGAAACTTGTTATGGTTTGTTTGTGTTCGGTTTCTCGAACTTTCGATTGACCGAGTGCTAACTTGTAACTTT